GTCTCGTTTTGCAAGCCCATTATGGGTTCGGCCAGGCCCACAATGGGGCTGCCGGGTGGTGAGGGACGGGGCCCGACATATCTGAACGGACCACCGCTACATGGTTGTTATAAAACTTCTTTAACTGGACTGGAACCAATTGTCAATAGTCTTGCTTCATTATGGATCCAATGAAAATCTCAATTCTTTGATCTGCTTTTTCAATTTACCATACATTAGACAGTAATACTCATAGATCTAGACTATACTCAATGGCAGATAATCAGATAACTCCCAGTGAAACTTATTCAAAATATAGATGTAACCATTATATTTAGATCAAGTAATGTCATAAAACAAAATATGACAGATAAGTGGATTCTGTTTTAATAGAAGATTAGATTAGGACATTTGTTTTTGACTGTGAAAATATATCAAAATGATTAATGTTAAACAGTACACTATCATCTGTCTTGACTACATAAATAAGTTAAGGACTATGGTAATTAAGAAAACTTTATGCAAAACTTTTTCAGCCATTGAATAGAATTTAAATTTCTTCAATAGAAAACATGTAGGCTTACATGCTAATTCTCTAAATAAAAATGATGATACCAGATATGCTATTTGTAACCAGATATGCTATTTGTAACCTTTAACTGTAGTTCAAAATAATATATATTTCACAAACAATGATTCTTGCTATTGTTACTCATTGAATTTCTTTTGTACCCATTGATCAGAGACTTTCCAACAAAGCTCAAACAACATCATATAGACACTTCCATGATTGAGACACAGTTTCTGTAATTTTGTCCTCTATTTATCTTCTGATCTATTCACATATATCATTAGGTTCCACACAATGAATAACAATCCAGTAATTAATTTTGGCAAGTACTTGCTAAGTGGCATCTTCTTTAATAGTATGCATTTTTTTTTTTAATATTTGATGCAAAGAGCTTAAAAATTAAATCTATAATCAGAGGCAATAGCTTCTCTTTATGAGAGAACTGTGATTATATCCTTTAAAATAATTTCCTTAGAAGTTAAAGAAGTTTATCTAAAAACAGATAAATCTACAAAACCAAGAAATCTAATCATCCTAACAATATATAAATATAATGTAATTTAAATATATAATCTTTTCCAATGAATAAAATGGAAAACAATGAATTTACATCAAATAACTTTTATATAATTTCTTAAATATAAAATATCAAACAATTACTTGACATTACTATTGATAAAGTAAAAAATGTTTTAGCAAAATTTTCAAAATAGTAATAAACATACTTGTTCTGTGAGAGTTGCATCCTTTTCTAAAAACTGAACTACACAATAAGCCAACTGCAAAAAATAATTTATTTTTTAATTCATTNCCCGCAGAAATCAATCTAAAAATACACAGTACTAATTTGTAATGTCTTACAAATTATTATTATTATCATTATTATTATTGTTATTATTAACTACTAACATAATTTATTTCACATCTAAAAAGATTTCTAAACATTTCTACAAATTTATCTAAACAGTTTGCAATCAATCAATCAAGTATAATCTCCCTACTAAATTTTGGATGGATGACTATTAAATCTGTAGGGAAGCTGACTGGATTACAGGCAAATTCTGGTTGGCAACAAGCATAGCCTCTGTTGTCTATTTTGGTTAATAACTCCTGTACCAGTGCATCGAGCACCATAGTATGCATCGGACTCAGAGACTCAATCTCCGGTTGTGTTGTGGCACAGTTTAACTGTACGAATTAATTAGTTATTGGCCCAAATAGTTATTCTTGTTATTCAATTGGTCTTTGGGCTCAGATTTCTTAAATTCTTTGGACCAGGATTTGAAGGAGATATGGCATCTGGACTTTTTTGATTATTTATTTTAATTTCATTATTAATTTAATCTAATTACCTGAATAGTAATTCATATACAGTAGAGCATCGATTATCTGAAACAATTCAGGACTGGGATTGTTCGGATAACTGATCATTTACAAAAAAATATATTAAACACAAAACTGTACTGTGTATAATTTGCATCACACGTCTTACAAATACATACCTCACATAATGTAATACATTAAACTAGGCCTAGAGTTCAGTTTGGCAGGGAGGGAAAGAGTGCTGCAACGCTACAGCCCTAGTGGAAATTTGAATTTGCTGACTGGAACGCTTTTGGTTAACCGTTGTTTCAGTTGATTGGTATTCAGATAATCAATGCTGTACTGTATATTCCTTCTGACTCCTTACAATAAATTTTAATTAGAAAAAAAGACCTCTGTATATCACCCACAAGTTATCTATGTTTAAAAGTCTATTTAAAAGCAGGTGCAAGTTATGTGAAGATCCAAAGTTTATCTGTCAATTTTGACTCACAATTATGAACTCATCTAACAGTTTTCCTTTTGTTTAAACTTACCAAAGGCATTTTTAAATATGTGAAATATTCTTGTGTACCTCAAGCAACTCTCCAGTAGGTGCAATTTTTCCTAAAACTACCAAAAGATATGTATGTCATCCTTAGTTCTCTCTTGTCTTTTTCTGTGTATCAGTCTATGCAATCCTGACAATATTGAACATGCTTACTTGAACTTTTATCTTAAAAACTGATAAATTGCCATCTCTATATAATGACTCTCAGAGAACAATTTATAAGCCAATTCTCAATTTTAATGTATGTTAGTTCTTTATAGCAAATAAAGAACTTACTTGCTGTAAAAAACTAAGACATCCACTCTCAACTCATGTCACTACAAATTATGAATATTAAAACTTTTTTCTATTTAACTGTTCAAGCTTATTTTATTTTTTAAATAATAATAATAAATTTATTAATATGTTGATGAACTGTGTCCTATACTCACTGATACCAATGATTAGTGATGTTTATGTACTATTGGTGTATATATGTCTGTATTTAAAAGTTTCCTGGCTATTTGATGTGTTTAGTATTGGTGTAGTCTGTATTATGATGTATATGCTGTTAGTATTTTCTGCTGTAATGTATGTGGTATGATACCTGTGGAAAAAATTATAAGCACAATACATACTTGATCTATTCACTACAAGAACTTTATTTTGTGGATAATTCAAAGTATTTAATAATTTCTTTCAGTGGATGTATTTTGTATGTTATGGGTGTTTGGTACAGCTATGTCTATAATGTAAGTGATTTTGTTTAAAAATTCGAAAGAAATCCATTAAAAATTTTGTATATATATATATATATTGAATTGACCAGAAAGTCAGTGCAGTTTATGCTGCCTGTTTACATGTTAAAATTTTAGCTATTTCAGTAACTGTCATTTTAGTTACAAAAATAATCATGAGTTATTTTATAAATATAAAAAGTTAACTGATCATTAATATTTTACATTTTAAAAATTCTTTAAGAAATATACAATTATTGTTACCTTCCTAAAATTTCAAGTAATTCTCCAACTCCATTTAAATGTTCAGTTTCATATATAAACCTGAAAATATATAATTTTTTTTATTTAAGTCATAAGTAATTCAAATCACCCAAATATAAATGCTCAAATTTGTCTGTCTTTCAAACACTATCAATTGAAAAAGGTTTACTTGTAAATAAGCAAAAGCACTTTTATTTATTCATTTTTTGAATAAAACTCATTTAGCATTCATTATAAATTATGTAAAATTGTTTTCTGTTTGTTAAATATGTATAAGAGCTATTAGAATAACAAAACAAAAACAAACAAACTACTAAAGTTGAAGTTATCAAAAGTATTTAATCAGAAATGTTTTCAATCTTGATTTAAATCATCTTCAGTTAATTCAGAATACACAGATTAGAACTGTTTTGAATTTAAAAATTACAAATTTAAATAAAAAAGCAATAAAATTAAAAAAATATATATATAAATGTACTAATAATAATAATTAAAAGGTTTGGATATATATATATATACAGTACAAAGAAATGATGCAAAGTTTCATAGACTTTCATGAGAGTTATTAGACCTTGTTGCCTTCAAAATAGTCCCTTCCACTTATACAATACCCAGCAGTTCTTCCATTTTTGAAAGCACTCTTGAAATTCTTCTTCTGGAGTAGTGTGTAATTATGCCAATAAATTTATTTTGGTTTACATTTAATTTACATTTAAATTACATTTTCAGTGAACTCAAAATGTTAATACTGCAATGGTGTTTTCGGCTTTGAGAACAAAAACAAATCTGCTGACATGATTTCATTTGCAAAAAACTCATGAATCAATAATGACAAATGTGTGCTGATGTGTTATTGTGGTAAAAACATCAATTTCTTCCTTCACAAATCAGTCCTCCATTTTCTTTTTTTTATCATCTCATTGCCTCATTCTTATAGATGTTTCTTCATCAGACAATCTGATGATGAAGAAACTGATTACTTACTGACAGTCTGATTATTTTTGTCGTTTTAAACACCATATAGTGTAAATACACGAACACTAGGCAATCTTCATTTTAAATTTATTCAATTTTTAGTTGCCTAGTGTTCATGTATTTACACTATATGGTGTTAAAAATGACAAAAATAATCACCGACACGGTTTCAAGAACGTAAAAGAAAATGATATCACCTTCACTACTGACTGTCTTGATATGGGCTTTTTTGTTTTGAGACTGTATTGTGATGGTGGTGGTAAGGTCCATTGTGAAGATTGAATTTTTTTACTCAACATCATACCCCTAAACTCACATCTTGTCTTCAATGATTTCATTCTTTAAAAACTTAGCAAAGCTGTTTGCGCAGCCTAGTTCTTGATAATTTCAACCCATTTTTCCTTTTTCTCTTTAGTCAGCAAACATGACACAAACATGGTGAATCAGCTCTACTAAGATAATGAGACAAAAATTAGTCCAAAAGTAATTATCAGTGAATGATTAATTACTGCCCAATACTGAACCAAATTTTTCATGAGTTTTGAGGTTACATATAATTTAATATTGAAATATATATAATATTTTTATAAATAATTTTATAAAAATTTTTGAAAATATCATTATTTCTTTGCATCAAATTGTAAAGTAAAAGTAAGGCACACAAAAATGTTGTTTTAGAAAACTTTTTGATATGAAATTCATTGGTTTAAAACAGGGCTACAATATCAAAAATTTTTAGGAATCTTTATACTACTCCATATTATACTATAGAAAATTTACCAACTTTATTTGCCAAATGCAACATGGTTAAAAAAACATTAAAATCTGAAAAATCAATATAAATGATCCTAAATCACATACAAAAATTACAAAAACAATTTTCCTTAGTTATCTAACACATTGTGATATAAATACAGCTTTTATTCAAATAAAAACTATCCTCAAATAGCATTCACATCTACTATTCGAGAATTTCTAAAAACTTGGAGAAGTAATGTACATTTATTTATTTAACAAACAAACTTTAATAGGAAATGAAATATGTAAAATGTACAATATACAATAGGAATATTTTTTAATAATTTTATTATTTGTACATATAAAGTAACACTCACTATAAAGACACCAGTTGCCACTCCAAGTATAATTTGTTTTAAAAATTAAACTCATATAAATAAATATATAAATACTATATTAATTAATAGCACATCAATTGGTTTGTGCAAAAGAAATAACAACCATCCTCAAATAGCAACCAGAGAGGAAACTATGCAGTTTAAAATAGTAGCTGTAGCTATTATTCAAATAAAACCAGTACTACTGAATTTTTTTTAAATTAATTTTTGTGGAAAATTCAACTTTGAAAATGATTTTAAAATGTTGTTTTAAATTATTTGAGTAAATTAAAGCAAAAATGCAACTTCTAAACTTATAGGTACAGTAGAGCATTGATTATCTGAATATCAATCAACTGAAACGTCAATTAACCAATAAAGAAAATGAAAGCTTTCCAGTCGGCAAATTTAAATTTCTGCTAGTGCTGTGGCACTGCAACCTTTCGCTATGTCTTGGGCTACTCCAATATTATTTTTGCTGGTGTGCATGTTTTAGCTGGCAGCACTGGCATGACCATGAGAGGGTACTTAAGGACATGCCAGGATTTGAACAAATTACAACACAGAATAGGTTAATATATTTTTTCATACATAATCAGTTATCTGAAAAATTGATTTTCCGAACAACCCAGTCCCAGTTGATTCGGATAACCGATGCTCTACTGTATGTTTATATCACAGTATCATATGCTACAAAAAAATAACTATTCTTTTAGTGCAATGTCCTTAAAGAGAAAAAAATCTCACAGACATCAATAAAAAACAGCTCTAAATGGCAACATTTTCAAACAATTATCTTGCACTGTACATTATAGTATAAACAGAATGATGATTACACTGTAATATTAATTTTTGACATTTAATTCAAATGCATTAATAATCTAATATTGTTTTACAATAATTAAATGGATTAATACAAGGAAAGGAATTCCATTATTTTTGGAAATCTTTGTATTAAACTCCTACATACCAAAAAAATTACCAATTTGATTCACCTATGCAATACAGCTAAAGAAAATGAATTGCCTAAACATTAACTAAAGTGAGTATTTTTATTTAATCATATTTCACAATTGTAGAAAATGTTTTTTATTTAAATTATCTGGCATATTATGATATAAATATAATAATTAATAAAGTTAATATTTTTTCTGCACTGATAACTTCACACTACTATTAAACAAAGGAAAAAACTATCCTAAAAAAAGATAAAAATATTCATTTCTAACTCAGTACTGTATTGGCTAGATATTATCACCCGATTATAATTTTTTTAACAATTGTTTTCAGACTTTATATTACTCTACAATATACTATAAAAAAATTGCTGACATAATTTGCCAAATGTAACAAAGTTAAAAAAATAAAGATTCCTAAAAATGTTTTGAAATTGAAGCCCTGTTTTAAACTAGTGAAATCATTTTTTGAAAACTTTAAAAAAAATTTTTCATTTGAATTTCATATCAAAATTTTTTTTAATATACATATTGTGCACCTCATTTTTCCCAATAACAACATATTTTTTATTTTGCAATTTGATGCAAAGAAACAGTGATACTTTGAAAAATTAAAAAAATGATATTTTCATGAATAACCTCAAATCTCATGAAAAATTTGTTCTAATATTGGGCAATAATTAATCGTTCACTGATAACTTCTTTTGGGCCAATTTTTATCTCATTATCTCACTGGGACTAATTCACCATTCTTATCCTGCTATGGCCTTTGGATGCAGCCTGATACAGCTTCAAAGTTTCCAAAATTCTCATGTCACATGTGCTTTTCAATATGCCAGCTTTTGCAGCTATATCTTGCAGTGTCAAACAACAATTTAAGCAGATAATTTCACAAACTTCACAGATGTGTTAATCATCAGTTGATGTCAATGGTTGTTCAGAACACTAGTCATCTTGAAGACATTTATTTGTTCCTCATCAAAACACTTGTACCACTCATATTTTGAGTTCAGCTCATGCATTTACATCAACATTTCAAATAATTCTGTATAATGGAGTTTTCACCTAATTTAAACAAACCTTCACAGACACACAAATACAACTTATAAAAATTAGACACTGTAAAAGCAATAAAATATCTGGAACCACACACAACTTCATTCTGGTCTATATAGCACACAGTCTAAACAAAACAGCAAAAAGCAGTATCAGTTGACTTGTGAATATCAGTGGTATGGCACAATCTGTTATCTAGTAGATTTCTTGTGCTTTCACATTGACAAGCTAGTTTAAAAGTTTATAAACTTTTTGGACAAATTTCATACACACATATTCCAATTAGTGCCAGGAAACATTATTTCATTATAGTGTTTTTGCATGTGAAAATACTATTTATTGAAAATTCTTCTTCTCTTCTCTTATTGACAGAATAAATATAATTAAATAATTTACACTATATTTATATCTGAATCATACTAATAAAGAATTTACAATTCCATTAAACTATAACTTCTATAGCTTACCTTAGAAATATATTATTGATTTGTTTTCTAATAAATGCTCTTAAACCAAGAAATTTGCCATAAATCCTATGTAAAACAGTTTTTAAAAAATCTCTTTCCCTTGGGTCTTCACTATCAAATAAATCTAATAACTGTAATCATATTTAAATAAATTATTATTATAAAAAAATATTCTTTTATCATCATAAATACTTTTCAAAGTAATGTAATAAAATTTAGTTATAAACCTGTAAAACAAATTTCTGGTCAATCACTTTTTTCCCAATAGTGGGTTGAAAATCTGGAGACTCAAGAAATCTAAGAAAATATTCATACACTAGCTATAAGAAAAAAGAAATTATTAGTTCATAAATATTTAAAATATAGAGATAACTAATACAAGTAAAAATTGTTATACAAATATATTGGAATCCCATTTATCCAGATCTCATTATTCTGGATTTTCAGTTTATTTGGATTATAAAACACAATCCCTAACTCAGAAGTATGAAAGTTAGATATAAAGAAAACCTATAAACATGGAAAAATCAAAGAACCCCTAAATACATTCTTGCCTAAATATATATTGCAGCTTGCAAGAATAGACTTGATTTCCATGAATTGTCATATGATGTTCATTATTATGCATTCATAAGACCTATGTGTTCTTTGAGTTTACTTAATATCTGACTAAATGTTTTCTAATCTTTTAAGATTTTCAATTATAAAAAAATTGTTACTTTCCTGTTAAATAAAAATATTGAGCTTCTCATGGCAGTTGATGTGTTAATATATTTATCATTTGTAATCTCAGGGGTTATTATTCAATCAACACCTACAGCTACTATTGTTTCACTGAGTTTCAGTCACCTTTAACCTTTTGCAAAGTAAAGAAAATACAATGAAAATGACATCTAAAAGAAAGAAAGTGGTTGTTATGATGAAGAAATTAAAAATATAAAATAAAATGTATATAAACTGTGTTATATTGTTAATGAATTTTTTGAGTTATCCAGAATTTTGGTCATCCAGATTGACCCAGTCCTATTTGAGCCAGATAAATTGGATTCCACTATATTAATCAATTTTAATTAATTTAAAATTTCTGAAAATTTGAATATTTTAATATTGATATACGTACATAACATACAAAACTCTGAGTTAACTATTATTTACTATATAAGTATTATTATTATTAATATTAATTTTCCAGGTAATCTAAGAAATACACTTGGGAGTATAATATTGTTAAAAGAAAGACATTTTGAAAAGGACCTATGACTAAAAAATGTCTACTTTAGATCCTGCCAAAAAAATATAAATTTTTTTTAATATTTTTAAACTAAGATGTTTCCTTTAATTAAAAAAATTCATCTTGTACTTAAGCTTTAATAAATTTTGTATAACTTCAATATCCATCATTTTATTAATTTAAAAAAATCCCAATTATTTAGATGTAATCCAAGGTATGCTCCATGCAAATATTAACTTGCAGTTCAAATAATTTAATAACTTTAAATATAATAAAAATGAAATAACAAATTTTAACAATTAAGTTATAATCATTAATTCATTTACAAATGCATTTATAGAAATTTTTAAAATAATTTTATCTTTTTGGTTTTATTTCAAACTTACTTAATATGGGGTCTATTAATTCCAAAAAAGAAGCATCTAAATGAAAGTAGTCCATTTTTTTTAATTTGAAAACCAAATTGTATTTTTCAAATTATATCACAAGCCAGAAAATGTGAAATATAAGACATTTTAGCTCTTTAAACAAATAAAAAATAGTTAACTAATCAACATTTTAATAGAAACACTAAGCACTAAGGTTTTACAAAGGATTTACAGATTAATACCTGAAATTGAACCTAAATTCAAACTTGACCCAGATTGAGTAATCAATTTTTAATGATCAATGGTTCTTACAAATTAAAAAAATTTGTTATATAGAAATTTAACTTCATTACTTAGAAGCAACTTAACGTATATTTTTGGCTGAAAGAGCAGGTACAATGCAAAAATTCATTATATGGAGAAATTCACTACGTAGAAGTTCATAATATGGAAGTTTTATTGTAATTATATATTCAATATAAATACATTTATAAGTAAATAATACCATGTTTGGTTTCACTAAATTAATAAACCAACATTATGTAGTACAAAAAATATTAGTACTTTAACATCTAAAATTGCAAAATTCTATACAAATTGAAATATAAATTAAATATTACATACATTCTAAAAGAAACTACAGTCGGCCCCCCTATAAGATAGAGATACGTTCCAATTTATTAGGAATCCGATTTCTTACAAGTCGTTCCAATCACAGCCCGACACGTGTCAAGTTTACGGACTACGGCTGATTGAAAGGTTTTCTTCCATAAAATTAATCGATTCTACACTAATCCGACTCAACATTTCCAAAATACGTATATTTTTTCGTAGTTTTATAGGAATCGTAATTATAGGGACCGTAATTATAGGGGGGTCGACTGTATACTACAAAATTAATACAGCTTATAAAATATTATGCACCATGACCTTTCATCCATTGAATGTTTATATTTAATCTGTAATCTACTATAATTTGGTATATAATTAATGCTTATTTATATTTTCAAACTTTCTTCACAATTTTTTTAGAAAAAAGCTAGCATGTAAATATTGATAAAAATGAAAATTTGGCCACTTATAATACTGATACATGAAATTAAATCATTAACAAAAAACTATGTATTACTTGTAAATGCGGCCAAGATGCTTCTAATGTGGGATCATCCTCTTCAGGATCAAAATCTGGATTTTCACTTGGTGGCAAGGTACGAAAAAGATTACAAGATATCTGAAATTCCAAAAATTCACTTAATAAATATTTTATAATAATAATAATAATATTAAAATGATTTATAAAATTATAAATTAATTACAAAGAGTTCTGTTAAATCACATCAGTAATAATTTGCTGAAATTGATTGAAAATGCCGAGCAAAAATTTAATTACAAACTTAAGAAAAAATAGTCCAATTTCTAATATCAAACATATTCACAACATAAATTCCAGCATCAAAAGATTTTCTCCAATTAAAACAGAAAAGAGTACAATAAAACTATTATTTTGTAATACAATTCTCAAACACAACACAAAAGAATGAAATAAAACTGTATTCTTTTGCATTGTATCTTAGAAAAGAATGCAATGAAATAAAATTTTTTTCCTAATTAGAGATTTCACTGTATTCTTTTATGTTTTAGTAATTATGAAATTAAACAGTTGACATTATTAAAATATTAATGTTATTATATATTAAATTATTATTATAAATAAGCAATCAATTTATTAGAAAATAAAAAATATTATTTAAAAAAAATATAAAACTTGAATTATAAAATTTCAAAGATTAATTTATTTACATTTGCTAATTAATTAATGCTATAAAGCATTCATCTATGTAATCAAAAGTTTGGAATGTTAATGATAAAATATATTTGTGCGCTTCAGGCTTTATTATTATGATCGCTTTTAATACTTCAGGTTTTATTCATTATTCATCTATTGAATATTTTTAATTATGAAAGGTCTTTCAAAATCAGAATTTGTAATATTTCAAATGTAAATAATTTAAATGTAGATTTTGTATAATTTACTTAAAAATTAAACTGCTTTATTTACATTTTGTATGAACTACAGTTCATAACTCAAAAATATAGATTGTAATAAATAAAGTTTTTGAAAATAATGAACTGAATAATACAATTTCAAAAACACAAATATATATGACGTTTAAATAAAGGTAAAGCTAAAATTTTTAAAAAGGTATCAGATATAACAGGATTTATCTGAAATTGTGTTTCATTTGAATGAAATCTCAAAATATTAAACTTTAAATGATATTTAATATACAGTGCTGAAAAGTTACTGTGCAGTGGAAAGTTGTTTTACAACAGATATTACAGTTTTTCCTACAGAAATGCTGGAAATGTCCTCAGAGACCTAAAAATCCAATGTATTTGAAGTCCAGAAACTTTGCATAATCTCTCAAGAATCTGGTATGCTATCAGCAAAAAAGTTTTGTGAGAACATTTAACATTTGTGATTTGACCAGAACATTTGTGAGCAAACCAGAGCTAAAACCAGAACATTTGTGAGCAAGAAATAATGGCATCTACTTGCAACTGTTATATAACTTACAAGTCTTGTATACAATGCTATACATATAACTTTAATGTCAATACAAATTTCTCGAACACACTATACAAAAACTCCCATCAACCTATTTACTCAAAGTAGCTTTTCCAGAGTTTATATCTTTATTATGCTAGTGCTTTCATTTTCATAGTTTTTAAAAATGTTCTTCTAACTTTAGAAAGTGGCCAATCATTTCTCTCTCAAAAAGCAACTGACTGGGCTAAGAAAGATATCCTGTATTGTCTGTTTAGTATAAGATAATTTGCAAAATTTGAAAAATAACTATGCTAATTCTATATCTATTTTGCAGATACTGCATGCATTATAAAAATTCAATTGATGTAAGCTTACATGCAAATAATTCTGACAAAACCTAAAAAAACTAAACTTATATATAAACATAAATAATAATTTTTCAATATTTTGTGTTTTTAGACTTAACAGATAAAGAAGTAGACAACCTCTGAATTGTCAAAAGTTATTGACTAATAACACAAAATCAATAGAATCGGAAATGAATCCTATTACTGAATATACAGAAGCCAGAAGAACTGAACTATTATCGCAAACAGGTGAGGAAATTAAATTTAAATTCCTCGCTAGAACTATTATCTATGAAATCTTGAGACATCTCAACAGCAGACTTATGGCTTAAATGATTGACCTAATAACCACCAGTAATGATAAATTGGTGGGACAGTTTTCACTAATTTGAGAAGAAATTAACATTGTTCAAAATGAAATAAAAGATTTTAAAAAGTAATTACAATTGGCTTAAAAACAAAATTTATAAATATAAAAAGTTAACTGATCATTAATATTTTACATTTTAAAAATTCTTTAAGAAATATACAATTATTGTTACCTTCCTAAAATTTCAAGTAATTCTCCAACTCCATTTAAATGTTCAGTTTCATATATAAACCTGAAAATATATAATTTTTTTTATTTAAGTCATAAGTAATTCAAATCACCCAAATATAAATGCTCAAATTTGTCTGTCTTTCAAACACTATCAATTGAAAAAGGTTTACTTGTAAATAAGCAAAAGCACTTTTATTTATTCATTTTTTGAATAAAACTCATTTAGCATTCATTATAAATTATGTAAAATTGTTTTCTGTTTGTTAAATATGTATAAGAGCTATTAGAATAACAAAACAAAAACAAACAAACTACTAAAGTTGAAGTTATCAAAAGTATTTAATCAGAAATGTTTTCAATCTTGATTTAAATCATCTTCAGTTAATTCAGAATACACAGATTAGANAAATGTAATATTCATTTGTTCTTACCGATTCCTTTGAAATTTTGACACAACACTGTATTCGAATACGCACGTGTTTTTATATAATATACATGTCGAAATTCCCTCACTGGGGGGAGATGGACAGGATTAAGGCTTACCGTAAAGAACTCTGCTTCTATTTACACTATTTTAGATGCGGTTTTTTGTGTTTTTAATTGTGTTTTAATAGGGTATGTCAACAGAATATGAGGTATACACTAAAAAGGGAATTTTTGATATTCCCCCAAGGGGGAGAGAGACAGGATTAAGGCTTACCGTGAAGAACTTGGCTTCTATTATACTATTTTAGATGTGGTTTTTTGCATTTTTGATTGCATTTTAATAGGGTACGTCAAGAGAATGTACACTAAGAAAGGATTTTTCGAAAAATCCCCCCCCACAGGGGAAGTGTTAAACATTTTTAATAGATACATTTTGAGTTACAACAACACATGGCAGGGTCTGCTAGTTATAAATAAAAATAATACTCTAGTTTGGTCAACAGTACAAAGTTTACATAGAAAAGATTCTGAAAATCAACCTCATAGATTTTTCAACCTGGTCACTCTACTTCAAAAGATTTACTACCATTAATAATTTACCTATTATAGAGAATTTGAATCCGGAAAATGAAATTTTAGCTCTTTCAATTACTTACGAAGAATTGAACATTTAATCAACAAAATGAAACCAAAATCATCTCCAGGTATTGATTTGATTACTGTTAAATTCCTAAAATTGCTATCACTGTCAGGAAAACAAATCTTGCTTGAACTATTTAATTCATTCTATAGTACATCAAAATTATCCGGAATCTTGGAATATAGTTAAACTGCTTATGATCTGTAAAAAAGGAGACAGGAAAGATCCAAGAAACTACCATCCAATAGCACTACTACTGACAATAAGAAAATGTCTTACTACAATATTAGCAATATGATTTCAGTGATGGATTGTGGAAAAAAACTTGGACTCAAAATTTCAATTTGCATTTATTAAAACTAAAGGAACCGAAATGGCTATATACTTTCTAACATCAATAGTACAAATTTATTTAATAAAAAAAAAAAATATATATATATACAGCTTTTATTGATATCTCTAAAGCATTTGATTCTGTTCACATCCCAACTTTAGTAAATAAACTAAGAATATAAAGTACGGAAAAAAATTTTCTGATACAATAGCAAAATTATTTTCCTCATATAAAATTAACATTGTTCAAGGCAACCAAACATTCCAAGATTTAACTATAAACCACAGAATACTTCAAAGAGAACCATTATCACCATATTTAATTTCTACATAAATGATATGGATAAATTATTTCTGAATGATACTGAAGGAATTCAGATTTCTGGACAAACCTACCACTATATTCTACATACTGATGACTTAGTATTACTAGCTCCAACAAGAATGACCTTACAATGTAAAATTAATACAGTAAATAATTACTTGAATTCTTTATATCTAATGATCAATGTGCCTAAATCTAAAATAATTATATTTAGAAACAACATAAATCTGTCTAATCAAGAGAAATCAATCATTCTTCTTAAATGGCCAAACTCTTCTCTTAGTAAATGATATAAAATACTATCAGGCATAACATTTAACTGGAATTGTAATTTTCAACTGCACTTGAAAAGTCTCACTACAAAAATAAATACTTTAATAAACAATGCTATTTATTTATGCTCATCATTAAAAATTACAAATTTAAAACTACAAATGAAATTATTTAAAACCTTAATAATACCATCAATCTATTACAGTAGCCCTATATGAGCATTTGATCTGTTATATGACTTAGAAAAATTCCACATCATTTTGTTACGAAAATTATTAAAAATAGAAAGAACAGTTCCAGGATATGCATTAAGAGCTGAAACAAACAGATATCAACTATTTCCATTTTAATTAAAGAGACTAATCAGATTTTACTATTGACTAAAAAATACTAATGATGATAACATTAGATTTCTCCATCAAGTAATGCTATATCAGACCAATGACTTAAGAAATAAATATCCATGGCAGTATAAATTCAATAAATTACTACAAACATTCAGAATTTCAGGTAAAGTATTTGATCACTCAGAAACTGACTGGCAATATGATTATACTAGGGTTTCTCAGTTCCTGGTTTTTTGCTTGTCCCGGGATTCTGGGATAAAAGTGAACTGTTTCTCCGGGATCCCGGGACAAAATTAATTATTTTTAAGATATACAAAATATCATGAAATCAAATGATATAATTATTTTTCATTTTTTAAAGTAATTTAATACGTTCTGTAACCTCCAAAATCATATTAATAATGCTGTGTAAGATATATAATAAAAATTACCTTTGAATTACATAGAA